GGTGTGGTGAACGAACCATCGTCAGACTGTAGAGCAAAAATTTAGTTAAATCAACTTTGCTTAAATATTTTCAGTGGGGGAAATCATTTGATCCCCTGCTGGATTTGTACATTTGCTCACTTACAAAGTGATGAACAGTTTCTAATTTATGTAGTAGTTTCATCTTAATGGGGAGAGACAAAATATCAACTGTAGATCCTGGAAACCCAGTGAGTTTTATAAAAGATTTAAAAGATGACTTGAAAGAGATGCATGTCGTTGATTGAAATATCTATCCTCAAGCAAAAAATAACTCTGTACAGAAAGCATGTTTGCAAGCCCAGCCGTGTAGTTGGTCACCAGGTTTCTGTACATCTCAGGTGGGATTTAGGCTCTCTGCTCTTTAGCCCTTCAGCTCTCTTCGCAGCTTTTCTACAGGACTGAGGTCACTCCATGACGTTAATGGGCTTCTTCATCAGCCTCACTGTCATGCTGAAAGGCTCATCCACAACCCTTGCGGCACACAGTCCCGTTCATCGGCTGCTCAAGTCCCCAAGTCATGTTGACGCCAGGGAGTTTGATATTGGTTTCGTCCGATCCACACTTTTCTCCCAAGCCTCCTCTGAATCGTTCAGATGATGATCATCCTCACTCCATGAGGCAAGATCTGGCACGGAGCTCAGACTGAGGGCAATTGATGAATTTTATATTTCTTCAAATTTCCGACTAATCATGCAGTTGTCACCTTCTCGTCAAAGCTTATCGCTGATGGTCTTTTAGCCCAGACGATGCAATGTTGTCCCTGATATCCTTTCACAGTTCTTTGGTCTTGCCCATGGTGGTGCACTGATTCTGTGAGCAGGTGTTTTATACACAAATCAGATGGCTTAAAGGTGATCAAATACTAGTTCATTCTGTGACATGCAAATCAGTTTGTAACTTTTACGTTTTTCTAGATTTCTTTCTTAGACATTTTCTCTCCATTTAAAGGAAAAGATCATGAAAATTAGAGGCTGTTCATTTCTTTGTGAGCAAACTTACAATGATTATTCTGCCAAGTGAGCTTAAGAGAAACAATGCTTTTCTTGTGGACGTTACTTATCACTGTAAATTAAACTCTCAATCTCACACTTATAGCCACTGTATCCTGTTGACACTTGACGTAAAAGTGACTAATTAGGTGAGAAGCCCCGTGTGATTTCTGCTGCTGCTCCGTACTGCATTCACTGAACGGTGATTTAAAAATGTATTATACTCGTAGGTAAAGCGCAGTATCTGAGAGTAGGGCTGCTCGATTATGGCAAAAATGATAATCACGATTATTTTCACTGAAATTGAGATCACGATTATTTGACGATATTTATTTAACCCTTTAAGACCTACCATAGAACCAAGTCCACCAGAGCTTATATTTTATTTTTTTTTACATGCTGTAGTGCCATTTGTGGGAGCATTTCAAGTTGCTATACATCAATACAACTGTTATAGCCCATATTTTAATAATATGTATGCATTAAGTCCATAGTAATTACATTAATTGCAAAAAAGTGCAATAAACTACAAAAAAAATTGAAAATCGCTTTTGTTTTGTTTACATATATTTCTACTTGGAGAAATTTAAGAAGCTTATCCCTCAAAACTTTAAATACAATAAAGTTGCAAAAAATAGTTTCCCACCACAGGAAATTTATTTTGAGTGTCTTCATAGTTTTATTTTGGAGATACAGCAATTTTTATATACTGCAGGAAAAACAAAAAACAATCCTATGATGCAGATTTGCAAAGAAAACAGCATGTGCATCATTTCACTGTGGGAAGTGTTACGAACAGCTGATAGGAACGGCGAAGCGTGTTTCTGGAATATTATGTTTTTGTTCCTGCAAGCGCTTTTTATGCAATTTTTGCAAAGCTATATGTGGAACGAAACCGTGACCGAGGACAAGCTGATGGCATAAGATGTAAGTACAACTCCTCCGGTTTCATATGCAAAACAAATTATTGCGCTAGCTTACACGGTTCAGGTTCTACAGGGATTTAACAATAGTTACGCAAAACGGAGCGTGCTGCTCTGACCGGATTTAAAGGGTTAACAATGACTTTAAAAAAATAATATAAAATAGTGTGCAACACCACTGAAGTTTTTTTTTTTAAACTCTCTTTTCAACCAACGGCAGTCACTCTCCAAATAACTTCTGCTTAGCTTTCCGAGCTTCCCTCGGGTCCTCTTAATCAGCGGTCTCCAACCTTTTTTGCGCCACGGACCGGTTTATGCCCGACAATATTTTCACGGACCGGCCTTTAAGGTGTCGCGGATAAATGAGGGAGGGGCTAATAATCGGCTCAGTCATTTTTAATGATCGTTGAAAGCCCAGATCGTAATCGTGATTAAAATTCGATTAATTGAGCAGCCCTATCTGAGAGGGGTTTCCTGTGTGCATTTTCTTCTTCATATTTGTAATCTCCAGCTTTACTTAGAACCTTATTTTCAATAGCTTTGTGTAGTCATTTGTCATAATTTCAGGCTGGTGAGACAGCTGCGTAGCACTCATGGAGTGTTGGGGTTGGTAATAACGTTTTCTCAGATGTTCATGGGATGTTTGTCCATTAGACAGATGTCTTGTCTGCTCCTTTTTTGTCAAGGTGTACACTTCAGTATGTTCTATAACTGGTCCAACTGGTATCTAGCACGTTAGCTGCTGACTCTTAAAGCATCCTGAGTAAGCAGTTAGTCAGCACACTGCAGGGAAATGCATCATACCTTTATCATAACTGCAAATGTCAGAGGAAGTTTGGCTGCTGGCAGACACAACCTTTCGGGATGCACCAATAAGACGTGCACACAGAAACATGCAAACGCTGCCAGAAGGTTATCTCGCAGTGCACAGACACACGTTTGTTTGCTGAAAGGTAATTTTGTCTGTGGCTGTGAATGTTTGAATGTAACTCAGCCTTTTTTTTTAATTGTGTGAAATTGGGACAGGTTTTTGCCATCGGCAAAAAAAAGCCAGGGGGAGAGTTGTGCTGCATTGTTGCTCTTACCTGTCACACTTAAGTGCACCCATGTACATGCAGGCAGACACGCAGTTTTTAAAGGTGACTGTAGCAAAGACTCTGGCCACATTAAAAGGAAGACTCTTATGAGTTTTAAATCAAATTGCCCTCCAGCCTCATGTGCAGAGACACGCAGGTGCGCGCACACTTTCCAGCACACCGTTTTACTCCCCCCTGTCACTGTTGATGGTTTCATATTCGAACACAGTCTGCCACTCTAGCATTGCCTGGTGTCTGATGCTCAAAGCACAAGAGGGAAAAAGACCCTTTTTACCCCATCCCTGACAATTTGCATTACAAAAATAACACACACAGACTTATCACACTGTTTGATTTCGATCTCTTCCTCAAACAGATTTAAAAAAGTGTCTTACTTATGGGCATACTGTGGACACTGAGAGGCACGCAGTGAAAGCCAAACTTCTATCTCTATTTCCTTCACTTTTCCTTATCGTAGTCTGTCTCCAGGTGTTTCAGTAGTCTCTCAGCCGCACCCCTCCCTCCATATCTACATTTTGGCAGCATCTGCATAGGACTCAACAGAAAGTGGAGACAGGAATTAAAAAAAAATAAATAAATTCATGAAATATAAGACTTTATTCTCAGGTGGGCTGAAAGACTAATTGGAGTAAATATTAAACTGAAGTAAAATAAACAGTTGTGCAGCCCTGTGCAGGAATCAGTTCATTTCAGCTAGGGATGCAATGAATCACAATCTCACTAATGGTTCATGTTGGTTTTTCCTTTCCCCATTTCTATTTTTTGTCTTTGTTTTTTGCCAGGGACACACAGAAATCTTCAAGTCTTAATGCCCTTCATCACAACAACATTTAGCTACTGCATTATTGCTGCGATACAACATTGCCACTGTTGATCTTATTGTCGATGTTTAGTGATGCACCAAATTCAGCCCACTGTTGAAGTGTTTTCTCAGCAACAAAGTGAAATAAGTACGAGAAACTCGGATTGTGCTGGTGGGATAGTTTTCCCCCATCTAACCTCAGAAAACCTCAGTAAAGGGCAGAGACGACTAGATCCGTTCTACCTCCGCTTCAGCTTTTTCCGCTATGACCTGAAAGATGTAAATAATTAACAGAAATGATGTTTTGGTTTGATAGTTCATGTTTGACACTTTTCTTCTTCTCGTATGTTTAAAAGTTTAATTAGTTCTGCTCAGATGCAGATTGCTGCCAGCTCGCTTCGTTTCCAAGTGAGTGTTGATCTCAGCTGCAGATAGCATTGAAAGGAGCTTGTAATGTCTTATATTGAAATACAGAGCCTGTCTGAAACCAGCTAATATTGTTGATAATAACAGAGCATCGGTTTCAGGATCCATTAGCCTGACGTTCTGTCTGTCTGTTGTCACATCAGCGCTCTTTCCTATTCTGTGTCATATCCAATCTGTCCTTTGAAATCTTGTTTACACCTTTTTTCCTTCTAAACCCATTTCTGTCTGTTCCTGAGCTCATTGATCTCCCTTCTCCTACCAGTTTGCTTCTTTTTATGTTCTCTTTTCCTCATGTTTTTTTCTTTACTGTAAGAAATGTTTTTAATTACCATAAGAAATGTTACTTCACCCTTACCTCCTAATCAGCTCCACTGACTGACAAGTAAACAGCTTCATTTTCGCCCCACAGATGTGCGTGTGCGCTGCAGCTTCTTTGACTCACAAGTTTGCCTGGAGCTCAAAACATTTTCACGAGGACTGACTCATCTTCACAATTCTGTCCAAGTGCAAACTAAACCAAAGCAGCATTGGCACTTTTTTTTAATTAAACTATATCCAATCTAATTTTGCAATAGATTTAAATATAACACTGAAATCTGCTGTTGTAGATGCACCAAAATACACACGATTAATATTCAGATGCAGTGGTTCTTTCTTTTTCCCCCCCACGCATACACAATGTACTTAAGTAGTCAAGCGCACAAACATGACACATGGCCACGCGTTAATGACTCAGTCTCAGTTCCATACATGTAAATTTTATTATTTATATCAAGTCAAGAGAACAATATTGACTTTGGCAAAATGAAATGAGAACAGAAAGGAAACAACACTGATTGTTATTATTGGAATTGGCTTTGTTTAATAGGCATCTGTGTGTGTGTGCTTGCCAGTTTGTGTTTTGTGCTGTGCGCTTATTCTTCTTGTTGTTGTTGTGGTAGTTAATTTAACTGCCTAGTCATAATCATGTTCTTTCCTACTCACGAAGATTTCTTGTCTAAAACAAAAAAATCACACTTTTCATAGTTTGCGTTCGATCCTAGAATCACTCCCCAGAAAACTTTGAAAAACAAACACATGGTGCGACAAGTAACATTATTTTATTTATATACTATATATGTATGTGTTTGTGTGTCTCTCTCTCATAGAGGTTTTTAAGAGTCTTCCAACAGATTTTATAGCATTTAGTGGCTTCTGCAGCAGTTTGATTCATTTACTGTTTTGTTTTTATTTTTTTTAAACTGCTTCCTTTCTGAGAACATTCGATTTGGATTTACCATGAACCCATGTGGCACAAAGGAGTTTGAAGTCACACAAATGAATTTGAAATTTTAATTCCCATTTAACAGTTTCCGCTTTCTCACCATGCTACACTGCTGAAAATAAGTTGTACTGGTTGTGGCGTATTTAAACATTTCGCTCTGCTTTCACTCTCAGTGGAGCTCAAGGACGCCTCTCACCTTAATTTTTAGGGTTTTTTTTCCTTTCTTTTTTACAGCATATCCAGAAAGCACTAAACATTTTTGAAACATGGAGTCTACTTCACCGGCTCGCCCCCCACCCCACCCCACGAACATTCATATACACACAGGCACACAAATGCATCCTGTCCCTGATCCATAGACGCATGCACACTTGCGCATCCATTAGCATTATTCATCTGTTTGGTCCATTATCATCTGACATCCAATACGATCTCGTCTTTTACAAATGCACACGCTTACACGTTCCATTGTGCACTCCCGTCTCCATTTTGTAATCCATATCAACTCCATTGTAATTCCAGTGTCTTTCTTTTAATAATGTCTGGGCCCCCCTCGCTGTTTCCAGCCTGTATCGATTGATCATGTCCAATGCACCCAGCTCTGTATTTATACTCCCATAATCCGCAGGCGCAGCGAGCCAAAATCATTGTCCAGACACAGAGGACACATAAAAGTCACATTCAGAAAAGAGCTTCAAAATGGCCGGCTGCGTGAAAGCCAAAACAACAGAGTGGCATCCAGACCTTTTCACTGATGCATTTCTGTCACAAGTATTTCTCCAGTATTAACAGTGGTGGTGTTCTTGATCCGGTGTAAAGCCTCATGGTGGTGTGGGAGCTGAGACTGGAGAATTGAGTGGTTGTGTTAGTGTGATCCACACAGGTCACAACATCTCCTCCTCCTCTGCTGTAACCCTTGTTCTGTTTCCTTACTGCTGTTTTCCCTCATTATTTCCTTAATTTACATCCCCCCATGTCCCTCTCACATATTTGTTTTTTCCTTTCACTGCGATGATTGTACTTTCTCTTTCCCCGTCGCCTTGAATTTTTAAAGATTTTTTTTTTTTATTAATTTTTTTTTTGGTCACATTTCTCTGCCATCACTTTCGAGGTTCCTCGAAGAGCCTCTTACAAATCCTGACCTCACTTCTTGGTATCCTCCCTCCTCTCAGCTCACAGGGCAAATCAAGAAGCTGCATTAGTGACACTTGAGTCACCTGCTCTCCTTCCTTCCTCTGAACTGGAAGTTTTTCATCTAAAACAGTTTTGCTTTTGTAATCCCTCCTCACCTCTTTGGCCTTCTTAAATCAGCATCTCATTCAAACTGTCCTCGTACAGAACCCTTTATCCCCCTCCACTTTTTGTAATCCGTGCCCCTATACGACGCTTTCCTCCAGTTCTTCCGCGCTCTTTCCATCCTTTCCTTTTTCCCTACTCCTGTCTTTTCCATTATTTGCTTTCCCGGGAGTAATCCCAGTGTTAGAGTTGGAGTTGGTGGCGTTATAAGCATGAATATATCCCCTTTGGAAATCACAGTGACCCCCGAACCCGCCGCTGCTTTCGCACTCGTCGCTCGTGGTCGACGACGCTGTGCTTGCTGTCGAAGCGCACTGCACCAGCATTCCATGCAGCGACTGGCTCCGCCTTGTCCAGATGATGCTTAGCCGCTTGGCATAACTGACAGCGCCGTAGCGCCTGGCGACACTCGCTGCGGCATCAGTCGCTAGCGCGACCGAGGAGCCCATATCGAGCGAGTGCCTCCGTTTGCTAACTGTTCCACAGGCGGGGCTCAGAGGGGAAACGGGGCTCTGATAAGCCTGTGAGGAGTTCCATTTGTCCCTGCCTCTGGGTGCGACTCTCCAGTCCAACAGCTCCGAGTCTCTCAGGGGTGCCGCGAGAGAAAAACTAGCACGATTGGTCAGCTCTCGCTCCAGTCGGGGCCTTGGGCGCTCCCTCTGACGCGACTGACGGGGAAGGGTTGAGGGGGGAGAAGGGGAGTAGTAGAGGGGTGTTCTGTCACTTTCTGAGGTGTACGGTGGCGCCTTGTCCAACTTTCGCTGTCTCACCACCAGTGCCATCTCACTTCCTGCCCCTGTCGTTGTGGAAACCACGCCTCCAGCTGAAAGAAACTGCTCCAGGTTGACTTTAGGTTTCGGCCTGGGCTTAGGAGGCAGTTTTGGAGGCACAGAAGAGGCTGAATCGGCCTCTTTTTCCTTTTCATTGTCCTTCTCTCCTCCTCTCTTAGAAGGCAGACCATTGGGCAGGACCACCATCATCATGTCTCCAGAACCATTGGATTGGTAGCATCCGCTACCGTTTCCTCCTTTGTCCCCACCTCCTACACTCCCCTGACAGCAGGCCCCGCCTCCTGCCTCGGTATTGCTGCTGTGACACATTATATGGTCCCCGTGATTGCAAACGCGGTGGCGAACCATGAGTGCCACAGTAAACACAAGTAAAGTGACAACAACAACGCCGCCAACCAGTATGGTGAGTGTCCCGCCCAGAAAGTGGGCTTGCAGAGAGCGACATGCAGGGTAAACATCCTTGGTGGAGAAGGTTGTGCAGCCCAGAACCTTTGTCGCAGCTAAAGATGTGATTGTGTCATCAAAAATGGCCAACACGCACAGATTATAGTCCACACCGGAAACCAGGTTCTTCAGCAGGAATCGATCACTGGTTGACGGTAAGATTCTAAAGAGGGAATAAAGGGAAAAGAACATGGGTCAGTTACATAAACATGGACGGTGCACAGAAATGCATAGCGTCTGCTGTAATTTGAAACCTGACCTCGATATTTTGACTAATCCGACCGAATTTAAGAAATAAACGGTTGAAGATTGGGAATACAGGCGGAGGAAATGGGTGTAAAGGGAGGGCTAGAAACGGCACCGGAGTAAATACTGCAGTAGGGGAATGAGGGGAAAATGAGGCTATTGATGGGGAGCGCGCCTAGGGAACATGAAAAGAGAACTCTGTCTGCTCATTTGGAGAGCAGGAGCGTGTCTACGTATGTGGGGATGTATTCGCATCTTTGCGGGAAGCAAACATCACAGCAAAACTCTACACATTTGGTCGTTTTAGGTTTAATTTCTGAATTAAAGTTAAAGTATAGTTGATGTTTGCTTTTCAGCAGAAGTTATGAAATTAAGACGTATATAATCTGGCTTTGGTCTTTTAGAGTGCAGATGTTTTCCTGTGTGTCTGTAATGAGTGAGAGCTTGCGTGGGATAATAAAGAGAGAAGTGCTTTGAATGTGTCCTCATTTTAAGTGTTCGAGCAGCCGTTATAATATATATATAACAAATGGGCGAGAGGTGAACAATAGAGGGATACTGGGGGGTAAAGACGGTGAATCGAGGGAGCAGACGTTACATAAGTTGCATGTGATTTTTTATTTTTTCTGTGTTTGCACCTGGTCTATGTTTGTATTTATGGGATGAGGGAATAAACGTGTGTTTTGATGCCAGTGGGTTTGTGTATGTGACATGCCAGGGTAAAGTGTGTGTGGGAGACTGAAGCGCACCTCAAGTGTCGCTGATGGGTATGACTCTGCCCTCTGCATTTCCAAACCTCTTGTGTGGGCAAGTATGTATTGTAGTTTTGTTTTGCTAACCAGAGTATTTTGTCAGTAGTTCCTTTGTTTTTCCTCTGCATCACGCTGTCCAAGTCCTTTTTTTTCCTCCATTCGCTTTCACACTACATCAAAGGGCTTATTTGTATCCTACGTTACTAACCATTTCAGCTCCCCTCAGACCTGAGCTACATCCTATAAATGCCATCTAGGATGACTCAGACATCCAGGGAGCTGCTGCAGAAGTCCCCTAACCTTACTCAGTATGTAATGCCTTCAAAATGGAGACCCAGAGACGGCAGCGGTTTGGTCTTGTTTTTCTTCAGTTTTAAATTGGGGATAATTGGCGCCTGTTATATAATGAAGTTTTTCAAATAAAACCAATCTGATAATTCTCACAGCCGTAGTTATATCGATGTTGGTGTAAAGATGGGATTAGTCGTCTTGAATAATGCAGTGCTAGCTGGGAAATGAGAGGGGCCTTCTTGAGGCAAGCTACAGTCCAGAGCAGTGGATCTGGGTTATGGCAAGTAGGAATATTGATCATTTTCACCACCTCCTCAAGGCTTTAAAAGTTAACAAAACCAAATGTTTTCTACAGATGTCCACAATATCAACTTTTGCACTCGTATAATTTAAAAGAAAATATTTTTTTTTCTTCCTCTCTCTCTTTGCGAATAACAATGTTTCAAACGGTTGCACCGTTTTAGCAAATTGCCTGGGGTGATTTGAATAGCAAGGAAATGCTTCCAAACTTCTAATTTTCAGCAGAAGCTCGGTATGAATTTAACAAGAAATTACAACGTACTGTGTGACACTCCAGGTTCCCAGATAATCTGAGTAGACACATGGGGCATCGTCATTAAAGTCGTCCTCATCCGGCGGTCATTAGGTCGCTATAAAGTCCCTTCTAACACAGTTACAAATCTGCCCGTTAACTCGTGCTGTGCGGTGGAGCAACTTGGGTTCCAGGTGTATGTTTCCATGGCAAAGGCTCATTATTTGACTCGGCAGTGTAGTAATTATACTAAGAGTACCTCGTCTTATGATATCCACTCACTAAGCACTCGGGACCAATCAACTTTCCTAGCTTCATTTCCCAGGATACTAGTCATGTCTTATTTTCAGAAAATTGACATAAAATTGCCAAATTTTTCCATAGCAACATCATAAGCACAGCATAAGCTTGAGAGATGCCAATTACAAAAATAAAGCTGTACTTTGATACGCTAAGAAATGTGTATGCTGAAGCTAATTTAATCTTTCTCACAGAACTGTAAAGAAGTGTCAGAGATCTCTGAACTCATGGATATAAACTACAGTGGACAACCTAAACATCAGCAGTAACCAGCACTGACATAAAAAGATGAGAGGTTTTGATTAAGGAGTTTTCATATTCCTACAGCAAAAAGACATCCAGAGAGTGAAAGTGAAACCGAGGATTATGACCAAATATCTCAGGGATGAAAGCTCAAAATAAAACCTCTTGTGCAATCAGTCAAGTCAGAGAATTGTGAATAACTCCTGTGAAGTCCAGTAGTAAAGACAGGGGGTGCTCAATCAGATTTCTAACATGAAATATACAAGAGGCATCGCTCGCTATGCTTCTGTTTCTGAATAAAAAGCCTTGGTCATAGTATAGGCTTATCAAAGCCCCCGAGATTTATCGCAATGGTGTCAGTTCATCCACAGCCTTTATGCATCTATATATAATTGATAGATCCCACAAGACAGAGCGACTTGACCATCATTGGAGTGATTCATGTACTCCAGTGAGTTGCTGCTTCTGTCTATCACAGGCTAATACCCAAATCTCTTTTCTTACTTTGATTCATATTAGTGCATACTGGTTCAGAGTTAGTGTGTTGCTGGATACTGAAAAAGAATGCCTAAATCTTATAAGATGATATTCTAGACCAGCATATTTGCATCTGTCTGGATGAGTCTTTGATTTGGTCCTCCATTGTGACCATGCCTCACACAGTCATGCACACCTTTAGTCATTTTTCTAATCCTACTATTCAGACTCCTCCCTTTTTATTCACTCTGTCCTCCATTCTTCCCTCTATATACTCCTGTAAAGCTCTTTATCAGTCCTCCACCGTCAATGCGGCCAACTTATTTTATTATTTTCCTCCATCAGTCTTACATGACCAGATTTCCTCCGTTTGGGTGATCAGGCTCTCTTATCTCCTCATATCCTATGAGCTTTTCATTGCGGTGCAATCACCCATCCCTCTTTTTCCTTAGCCTAAATCTGCAGTGATGCAGTCATCTTTGGTTCAACCTCTTTTACAACTTCACTCTCCTCCTCTGGTCTAATCCTGTGTATCTTTTACCTCATCTGCTTGCCTCAAATCCTTTGGTATTTTCCACAAGGCTCTACCTGATCTCCCAGCCTCTCTTCCTTTTCAGTCACTCCACTACATCTCTATTAGCCACACCAATAACCATGTACCATGATTGAGCATCCAAGGTCACTCTTCCTCCCCTCTCATCTACCCCTATCTCCTCTGCCATCTCCTTTTTAGGTACCACTGCTCCTCCCTCATCCTCTTACCGCCTCTTTTCCTTTTCACTACCCACCTCACCATTTGTATCCTATATTTCTTTTCCTCTTCCTCTTGCCCACCACCCCTCTCAGTCGTCTTTCCCACCCCACCACTGCTTCCTCCCTTATGAGATTGTGAATCACCTCTCTAGTTGTTTTTGCTACACTGGGAGCGACAAAAATAGGCAAGCAAATTCACTAAAATATACATGGAAGACCCAGACACATTCACAAACGCATGCATCTTTGATATGCTGATTCGCTAGCACTCGCTGCATTATTCATTTTTTTACCCGTATTTAGCTATGTGGTGTGGGTACACATGAAATAATATCCGGCTAAAACCTCTGCTCGAGACATTATGTTCATGAATACAAAGTGCATCTCGTGTAACTCGGACTGATCGTCGTGGACTACGAAAATTGATTGATTAAACGGCCGTGGTGTTGTCTGTATTTGCGCCGACTCGATCTTTGTGGGCCGGCTTCTAACATACCAAGAGAGTTTGCTCCATCCCTGTGCTTCTAATTATGGTTAAAGCCTGCAAAGGCGTGCACATCCACAGATGCAGGAAGAAAGTAATCGAGACAAGGGAGTGCTTTGTTCAAGCCGGTGACACAGAAACGAGTAATTATTAGTACCCGTGAGAGTAAGGCGGAGAGGAAAAGAGAGTGATGGAGGGAATCAAGGAGTGGTGGAGCCCAATTTTTTTTCTTTCTTCTCATCGTACTTCCTGTCTTCTCTTGTTATTCTCGCCGCCTCACGTCTTGCTCCTCTCTGTCAGAGTTACCAAGTCTGGTGGTCTGACACCAGACAAGATTGGGCACAGAGAGCAAGAGCCGGAGGAGTGAGTGAGAGAAAGAAAGATGAAGAGGAACAACAAAGCAATTATCTCCTTCTGGCTGACATCTATCCAGCTCTCCTCACCCCCCCCACCCCATGTCACGCCTTTTGTTCGTTCACTCTTTCCTACATACATTTTTAGCCTTGATTCGTCAGACTGTTTATTGCCTTGTTATCTGTCTCTCTCAATTTTGTCTGCTTTCTTCAGTTTTCCATGATCACCCCACCCTCCCCTGTTTTGCTTTCCTTTATCTGGCTTTTCACTTAACTCTTCCTTATTCGGTCTGATTTTATTTTTCCCCCCTCGATGCCTGATTCGGTTGCTTTCTTTCATTATGCGACCTTCTCCTTGTCGTCCTCATCGTTGCTCCCCCTTTCTTCACTTTAACCACCTAGATATTTATAGGAAATTCCCTGTCCATCCTTTGCTACCTGCTTAGCCCGTCCTTTTCCTTCATGTGACTCTACAGAATAATATAACGTGACATATGTATTGAGTGCTGACCCTGTTCTCTTCCCCTTCCTTTTGAAGCCTCTGATATGAGCTGACGCATGTATTGACACAGTAGTTTAACACTTAATTAGCTCTTCCCGTGGGGTAAAACTCTTCACTTCATTTTACCTCATCTCCTTTTCGCTTCCCTCCCTGCCCTCTAACCGCTCAGCTGTCCTGGTCCTTGTTTGTTCATTTTGCTTTCCTCTTTTTCCATCTTTGAAGCCGCATGCCTCGGCATGCCCTGCTCCCTGCCACATCTCTTATTACATCCTTATCAATCCCAGCCTCAGCATTTGCACATATCTTCTTGCTTTTATGATTATTTTTTTTTGTGTTGTAATATGACAAAGTGAAACCATGTGAAGATTTTGATGGATTTCTGATTGGACCAGTGGGGAAAATCATTTGCACAGCTCAGTGTGTTGTTTGTTTTTTCCTGTTTTTGTTGGCTGAACACACTGTAGTTTAGATTCTTGTCACTTTTGCTAAGCACATTTAGTTTACATGTAATGAAATATGCTGTATAAATAAAACTGACACATAGTTTGGTGTAGCTATAGTCAGTGCCCTGGGTGAGCATTTATAAATACATCCATAGCACAATTCAGTGTTTTCAAATATTAGTCAGATATGGTGGGTAATTTGCAACAGGATAAATCTTTAATGCCAACACCTAATTTTCAGGATTTTTTATTAAAGCCCTCTCCTTTTGTGACTCATTAGCCGTGTTCTCAGCTCGGTTTCTCAGCACGCTCCTTTCCTGCGGCTTTCAACCTCTCGCTCTGTACTTTTTAACAGTGCGGCCTTTTCTTAGACACAACTTTCATTATTCTCATTATTTCTCAAACTCTGCGTGATTTTTCTCTCCGATGTACTCCCATTGCTCTCCCTGTGATCGTTACTGTTCCCATTAAGTCTTAGCCGAACTTGGCACTTTGAGTGCCCGACAGAAAGGTCGATCATGTGGTGACTGGGGTGCAATTGTGAAAATTGTCAAAGCCACTCTACGCCTTCCTGCGCACTTTAAAGACTGTTGTTAAACCTAATGAGAAACTTTTGGCTCAGACATATACAAGTGTCATACAGATGCTCTCTCTGACATACCGTATATAGCAGTGATTCATAACTAATTCCCAACTGCTTGCCAGAGGCTAAAAATAGATGGATTTACACGTAAAAAAAATCATGAAGCACAGTGAAACGGCAGATATCTTGTATAATTCTTAGTGAATAATGGATTATACAGAGGTTGGGCTCAGTGAGACTTGTGCTGAACATGGAATCTGTTTCCTGTAAAATGTCTATTTACTACATGTCAGGTAGATTCTGACTGGTAGCGAGGTCATTGTTTACAATCCCAGCTAATTAAATGCTTCTTTCAGCTTTGTGTTCCTGCATACAGTACATGGAATATGTCAATGTGTTAATTCAGTATCACAGCTGCCATTAAAGTTGACGTGCTTCTGATTAAGACGCGACCGAAAAAGCTCCACAAAGCTGTAGTGCCGGCTGATGAGGGTTGACAGCCTTAAACTGTCTATGACTGCATGTTCTTTGTGACTTGCAAGTGCTGACGAAAACGCGCTTTTGAACAGATGGTGCTCCATCGGTTGCTTTAAAGTGCTGGCTCATTAACATGGACTCGTGCTTTCCTGTCCTGCTCTTTGTCCTTCAGGTAGGCCAGTCCCATGCGTGGGCAAAGAAGTCATGGTAATTGCTCACATTTACCGGCAACAAGGAAATCTTTGGCAGTTCTTTCACTGTGCTTTTCAGAATCTGGGTTTCATGTCACACTGAAGGATCAGTGACCGTGTGGTGTTGTTAAAGGGTAGCAGAGCTCCGGGAAGGAAGCTGGCTTAATGTTGTGAGGGAGCACAGCTCAAAGGAAGCCACATCCATGACATTGTACTTGGTACTCTCACAGATGCCAGCAGAATTACAAAGCATGCTAAAATGGAGGTCGGTGTTGTCTAACATACGACTGACCTTTTAAAGGATACAGTGCAGTCTGCTGTTCTCTTGTCTGCATACCACCATCTTACGATGCATTTATTTCTTGTCATTTCTCAAAGATTCCTCTTTTCCTGTGTTTCTGTCTTCATTTCTGAATGCCCCTCGTCTCCCCCTCTTCCCATCTTTTGCCCAATTCAGCGAGTGGCTGGTGTTTCCTCCTCCCAAATTCAGCAATAGAATACGAACACAAATCCCAGATAAAAAAACCTGAAATCTCACTGACCTGGTCTCACCTTTTGAGTTTCTAAGCCAGACTTGCTTTGGTTGATTCCTTTTTTTCTCGTGTGAAACTTTAGTTGGCACTAGCTCATTGATAGCATGATGGGAAGCCATACTGGAAATGCTCGACAGCGTTGTAGTATGCTGCTTTCCTCCTTCTGTCCTGAGAGACTGAGGGTTGTGCCTCCAGACTTGTCTCCTATTTCAACCTGTTTTCCACACTGACCTGTTAAAATGGCCACTACCCTACTCTGAACAAATCACACCACCAGGAAAACAGAGGGCTGTATGTGTCACAATCTGGCAAAACCTCAGATCGCTTACTCTCCTGTGATCCCAGCTGGTCTGTGACTCATTCTTTCATGCTTATCTCTTCTGTTTTCTTTTGTTTCTCTCACAGCTGAGTGTTTAAGAAAAGCATTTTACTGGTGTCAACCTTTTGCCTTAAAGAGCTACGTTTAGGTGCCCAAAGAAGTCTGTATTTTTATAAAACCACCCTTGAGAAAATACACTTAAATTTTGAGTCAAATTTAATCGAGAAACTAATTAACCTGGTATTGTGTTGTTTGATATCTCATAGTTTGTGGAGAGTATCTTCTCTTAACCTTTGTTACTAGAGATAACCAGCTTGCTCCCCTGATCTCAGATTATTATCCACTGAGAAATTAACACTAGTGATCAACAAGGAACTCGAGATCTCAGTGAGCTCATTTTAGGTATAACAAGCGTGTCGTGGGAGTCTAAAGAATCTGCATGTTATTTGTTTTGATGTTGCATTCCTGTTGGACATCTCTTTATCTCCATCCTTTCAACTGCACAACCTCCTTTTCAGCAGAGGAGCACTTTGCTTTCACAAAATTGCCTCGTCTCTATTTCTAAACGTTCCTGCTCCCTTGTCACATTATTCCTGTTTGCTTGTTTTTTTTCTCGCTGTCTTACGTTTCCGTGGGCTCCATTTTCTCCTTTCTCCCTTATTGCATCAGTTCCCCCAACCTCCCCCTTTCTTTCATACCCAGGTGTATATCTGTGTACACGGTCTTTCTATTTCAGTTATGGATTTAAATACCTTCCCTTCCTCTCTCCACCCTCGGTTCCTTTTTTTGTTTTTGTCTTCCTTTTCCCACGTGGGCCTTCTACTCTCTTGTCCTCCTTACTGTCAGTCTGCTTTCACACATCCTGCTTTTATCTCAATCTCACCTCAAGGTGATTTGGGTAGAACCCATCTTCTCAGTCTCTACAGGTCTCAGTCCACATGTCTAAATTCATCCGCTTTCCCCTTCTAACTGTATCCTTCACTCATAGTATTGCTTTTTACCTCCCCATCCACCCTTTTGCAAACAGCTCAGGTTCCTACTATTTTTACTTTGCTCTCAAACTTTCAGATTATAGCTTTTTTTCTTCACAATCATATTTCCATCTCTGTTCTCTACAGTCTTTGTCATACGAGTTGCTCTACCCCTTACGATACACTTACAGCTTAATGCCTTCTTTATAATACCTGAGGGAAGCCACATTGAACCCCAGCATTACTGCCAGCTAAAATAAAAACCCCACACAAATAATAGCACAGTGGCAGCCCTTGCTCAGCCAGCCCAGTGTCTTATCCCATCTTCCTCACTGTTTCAGCCACTGTAGCAATAACCCCACGCATAATGTCTCATCAGTCTACGCTCATAAATTCAAAAACAGTAAACTTTGACTGTGTACCGCTATAATTCATGAACAGCACCATAGTATTGTACATGTAAGCACACCAAGTAGCTAAAAAAAGCCACACTGTTTTATATTGAAAGACATTAGTCTCGTCCTTTAGCTTTGTTTAGACTGTTTTCTCTCATGGATTCTTATGCAAGCCCAATATTTTAGAAATGCAAATAAAAAAGATGCGATTTTTCAGGATATTGTTTTTGGTCTTCCTTATGTAGAACTTATCTTGTATAGCCACAGCTACATTAGATCTTTGAGGGGAAAAAGCGGAATTTTCAAATACTTGCAGATGTTTGTTTTTTAGTTTTACCTCCATGTTTTCCAGATCTGTACCCTGTACTTGTATGCCATGGCGTAAATAAGAGCTTTGAATCCTTTAACTACAAATCAACTTTCTAAGTGGTTATTTATCTCCCTCTTAGACTATGATGAGTCATACACTGACATAACTTATGAAAATTAGTGTATTTAGATTAAATACATGTTGCATCACTGTTATCGGGCATTTTTAGATGGACACCGTGGCCTCTTGATGTTTATGTTACGCAGCTCGGTTCAGAAACATCCCCCTCCTTCAAATCCTTTTCCACGTTATCCACATATCCTCCCATTCTGCACTCACCCATATGCACTGGCTACTGCCTATTGAGATTAAGTGTCATAGTGATGGAGATAAATTATTAACACTCTCTCGTCCACTATCCCTTTATTCCGCTCCCCGTTCACTTTTCCCTTAAGCTATCCGCACATCAATATGCAAGATGAACAGTTCGACTACTGAGGTGTCATATTGTAATGGATAAATATTTAAAATGATTAGCATGAAAGAAAAGGGTGGGCATGACCCTGCAAAAATACCTTCTGGAGGAGAAGCTGAGAAAGCAATCATATGGCAAGTGTCTAAGTTTGCCATTAGATAAGCGACAAAAGCTTCTATTATTTGCATTGTGAGTAAAGTTGAACTGACCTGTAAACGAGCGTCTCATCGGCGGTGCAGTTGTACTGTATCTGATACATCCAGACAACGTAAGCTCCAGACAAACGCCCCAAATCCCATCGGACCTGAGCCGATGTCGATGTTACTCCCTGTACTCCAATCATCCTTCCTTCCTCTTCGTCCCCTTCTTCTTCCTCCATGCTTCCTCCATCAGTCCTCTCTCCTTCAGATGCCCTACCGCCGTCACCCTCTTCGTCATCCCCTCCAACTCTTTTCCCATCCTCTGGCTCTCCTCCGCGTCCACCGCCATTGTTAATCCCTCCATTTTTGGCCGTGCTAATATCCGACGAGCCCGGATCGGTCCGTAAAATTCCATTGGTCACGTTCCTGTTGTTCTTGGTGTTAACACTGTTGCTCCCAGCGTTTCCACCTACTCCACCCCGGTGAGGCAGGGGGATTATTTTGAGATCCACAGTGGCAGTTGCTTCACCTGCTGCGTTTATTGCGATACATGTATATGCCCCGTCATCACGGGCTACTGTTACCAAGATATCCAAGGTCCCGTTGCTAAAGGAGCTGGTCCGGGATGAGTTTGCGATGATGCGATCATCTGGTGAAACCCAGTGGACTACTGGCTCGGGGTCACCAATGGCACGGCACTTTAGTGTGGCTCGCTGGCCCTCCAGCACCCACAGCTTGTGCGTGTGGCGAGTGATGAGAGGTGGTTCACATGTGAACTCCTCCTCAGGAATTGACCAGAAATATCTGCAGGCACAGAAAAGAGACAGTGAGAGAGGTGGAGGGAGATGGGTGGAGCAGATTAATTTTGCTATTCTCCACAAATCCCAAATGATCAATTAACCAGATAGCATCTTGCAATGAGTCACGCAAGAATCATATGTGGGACAGGAGCTTAAAATGCGAAGACCAACAGCTTCCTTCTATCAAAGCCTATCATGTTAACATCTGTCCGCATACATATTCAAACTAAGAGACACCAGGATCCTATGATGACAAACTCAAAAATGCTGAAAATGTGAATAATAGCAGACTGATGAGGACAGCAACTCCTTTTCCTCATAAATGCTTCATTTTCAGTGTGGTTTTGACTAGAGTTAGACTAGAAATTTAGAAAAGAGTGATGTAGGAAGTAGAGGTAGTTCAGAGTATCTAATTAGGGGCAAAATATCACGCCAGTGTTCTTAAAACTGGCTGCATGGCGTACCTGTCCTCATGAGTTTGAGCTTGATCTCATTAAGGTAAGAATTAGGTCATTTTAATTCAAAACATTGTTCAGCCTGTAACTTATTACATTGTTGCCCTATGATAGAGGAAACCTTTACTAGTTACAAGAATCAGAATAATCCGTTGACCAGCTGACGATGATTTACCTTCCAGCAAGGTGAGCAGGAGTGGCACACGTCTCCATGTCATCTCCACGGATGAGGCGTCTTAACCACAGCAGTTCACAATTGCAGTGCAGTGGGTTCCCTCCAAAATTTAGGCTTATGACAGCATTGTATGGGGTAGGACTTATTGCACCTGTCTGAGACCTGAATATAATAAAAGAAAAGCAGTCAGTCCATTCACTTAATGATGCCTTGCTGGACTTCGAGGTTATTTAAATGCAGTATTCATAATTGTCTTTTCTCTCATTTTGAAACGAGTACCTGTAGTGAATACAAAAGAGCCTTAAAACTCATGAAGATAATCAATTTGCATTTGGTTAAATTTTTATAAATGATTTACTTTGAACATCTCTCTCTAAGAACAACTTTAGGACGTCTTTCATGAACTTGTCCTTAGACAGGTTGAAGTCAATTTGGTGCAAACCAAATGTGAACATGGTATCTACACATTTGAACATACCATGTTCAACCTCTCTGCTATTTGCTCCTGACAGAAATCTGAGCTTTGCATGCATCACTGAGTAAAACTTGTCAGTTATACAGTGTGAACGGCTGGTAGATGAGGCTGTCTTTGCTCACCACAAATTTTTAGCTTTGATTCTCATTCTGACAAATGGTTTGGAGACCACTACTTGTTTTCTGAGACCTCTAATGGGCACCGTTGCACAAGTGTTGCAATTTTTGTTTAACAAATTCTTTTGAAGTTAATTGGACAAAGCTTGATAGACGAGGCTCAGCTGTCTGATTGTGTCACTCTATTTTCTGCTTTTAATGTACTTTATACTGATCTGCTCCCGCAAAGCATTTTACAGTTCACAGCCGTTTTTAGAAAAGGGTTAACTGTGACTGTACGTTGATTTATGTGAACATCAAATCCACCTTTGCGTTATCTGAACACATGGATCAGTGGAAGGGAAGCAATTCGTGGAGTTCATTTATTGTGCAAATGTCTGCAATTGTAAAAAATTTTGTTGTGCCATAACTTATTTTCAAATGTTTCTAAAACCTTAAACTTGATAATTGTTCCCAAGTTTCCATTTTAATACCAAGCTGTTATAAGTAATTTTATATGGCATTTAATGACTGGTGTGATCTGTAGAGGGTATGGGAACATGTGAAACTGCAGAATAAACTGGCTGTGTATAGCATGGCTATGTGAGAAGCTCTATTTAGTACAATCAGACTGAACTTTATGTTAAAATATAAAAGATTTAAACACTGGATTGCATAAACTATAGAAGAATACAACTTGTTGTGCAAGCATTCAGGTTTCCCTTTTAAATCTGGATGCAGTTACAGGGGAAGTTATGATTAAAGAGATCATTTTAACTTGTTTTTAAAAGGTGGCCTGAGCTGAAATGTCTCTATTACTAATCAAAGCACTGGTCAGTTGTTATGATCTTGCACACTATGGTCTGTCATAGCGTGCAACGTAGTCCTTAGACAGGCGAGTTAGAAATCGTGTCAGTGCAACACCTCATACGGTTGATTTGACAAAAATGTCAGTCCCACTGAGTTCCAGTTGACCAAAGCTGTGTCACAGCTGGACTTTGATTTCCACATTAGTTGGAGCACAGCTGACAGCTTTACAATGAGTGCGTACTTCTATTTATAACCGTCATATAACTCGCCATCACTATTTCAAAACTTGAAATATGTTTGAGTCAGCGAAGTGGTGAGAATTTGTGGTGGCACATAAATAGCATAAAAGTAAATGTTGACTAAAGAATTTACCGAATGCCAGCACACCAGCATTGTCTTTCTTCTTTTTCTGTGCCAGAAAGCACCCTGCTAAAAACACACACACTGGTAGCTTTGTGGCGTCTGCAACAGGATATTTCTACTAAGCTACTTCTGAGGGAAACATAAAAGTTGAAGCTTAAGAGCTACCTTGCAAAGAGAGGATCAGGAGGCAGGGTTCGGAGCCTGTTGGAGGTCATATCCAGCCTTGCAAGCTTATACAGCTCTCCAAAGACTCCTTCCGCTATGTGATCTATCAGGTTATGGTCCAGGTTTAGTGTGTGCAGACTGGCCATGTTCTGAATGGACTCCCATGGTACCCTGTAGATATAAAAAAGAACAACGGCTAATGTGAGATTTATTGAATTGGTAAACTTTGTAGTGAGATTGATCATGCAGTGTGAAGATGGAGTAACAGCAGCTCTAAAGACAGATCCACCTCTTGAGACCACTTTATTAAAGGATGTGATTGTAGCACCGATAGATCCACAGTTCATTTGTTGTTCTCTGGGTAATTTCTTCTTACTCGTCAGAGAACAAATATGCAACGATGAATTAATAGTGACAACAATGGCAGACAACAACAGATGCTTGTTTTCCTTCTGAATCTTTTGCTCTATCTGGGTTTCCCCAAGTCCCATCTGTGACCCATTGCTGTAGTCATTTAGTATTCCATTAGTGCTGTCATTCCCTGTTTTGGACCAATTAGTGAATCCAAATGAAATGTCTGGAACTAGCAAAATAGGAAAAATACGAAGCATTTATTTTTTGGCGTCAGTCACACCAGCCCTGCTGATTTTAACCTTTTTTTGTGTCCAGGTTCACCGAACTGAACTTTACAATCACCTTGCTGTTGAGTAATAAAGTTCATTGGGTGCAAAGCATGCTTTTCTTTTTGTAGTTGACTAAATAAACGTATTCAGTGATTTTAATCAGTTACAAAAACAATTTGGTAAACATTGATGGTTACAGCAGGTGGCCTCCATTTATCTGTACAATAGTTTGATTAGACAAAAGGCCTGAAAGAGGAAAGAAGTGCCAGGCATAGTTAATTAGACCATGTTTATGGTTTAGATTATGGTTTTAGAGGTTGGAGAAAGGCCAAAGAGCTGCTTTAGAGGAGACAAATGAAACATCTTAATCAGAACTGACAGCCCAATGCTGCTGAATTTATCAGCACAGAGGGACACTAGGAAGAGAATAGAGGTCTAAAAGAGAATATCATCATTGTTCTGACTTATCATTTAGACCAGAGGAATGGAAAGTAACCCTGAATCCCTATTGTCCTAAATAGACACGAGAAGAATACTGCACCCTGCACTCAGCTGTATAGAGCAGCTATAACAGTGTACACGGTGGCAGTGGAGTGAGCTCAGACGAAGTGAAAGAAAATTAGAACCTCATCAAAATTGACTTTCATTTTTCTTTCCCTTTCTTCTCCTCGTTGCCTCATATGCCAAGTGTTTTCATTGTGCATTTGTGTGTAAATTTTGTGTGCAGGATACACTGACAGAGACGGGTGTGTCAGTGTATGCTGGCTCATGAATTAAATTGAGTTTGACACAAAGGATGTCAAACTCAATTTAGTTCATGGGCCACGTTCAGTCCACTGTATGCAGCCTAAGAAAAACAACAGTATATGGTTCTTTTCCCCTTTAAGTTGTGTAGCACAAGGTGTTTTCCTAAAACTTAAACTTGTAACCATAAAGCCATGTGAGATATGTCTTCAAAATGTGCAAAATAAAGTATTCTTGTTAAATACTATCTATTTAAGAATGACCTATTTACAAGGAGGATGAACATCCTGAAATATTGCAAGAAAAATAATCTCATAGTTTATTTTTCTTAATTCATTGAGTTTACCGTCATATGAACAATTGAGAGATCAGTGGAAAGGCACAAAACCTTCACACGTACAAGTTTTTGGAGTAATTTAGTGAGAAACTCTATCAACAACGGACTTCACTGCCGTTTTTAAACGTTGCAAGTCTGGCTCCAGGCCCCATTTTTGATGATTTCTGCTTAAAGAACAATGTCTGTGGCTTGGATGTGCTGTGCACGTGGGTGATACCCAACAAAAGCAAAAACTCACCTCCTGAGGTTATTGTAAGATAAGTCGAGGTCTTCCAGTGTGAGCAAGAAGTCATCGAAAGCCTGCACGGAGACCTTGATCAGCTGGTTGTTGTTGACAATCAGGTGCTGCAGATTGACCAAACCTGCAAGGTCTCTAGGTCCGAGTATTGTCAAGCGATTACCTGGATAAAACAATAAACGGGTAAAAACACGTTTAAGTAGTGTATTTGATTCAAGTCTTGAACACTGAGAATAAAATAACTGCTCACCATCCAGATGCAGAGAGCGTAGACTCTCCAGGTCAGCAAAGGCCATTGGTCTAATAAGGTGGATGGTGTTCCTTGACAGTGTCAGATCAACCAATCCGGTCATGTTGACAAAATCATTTCCGCCCACTTCTGTTATAAAGTTATCGGCCAGTCGCAGCTCAACTGTCCGCCGGTCAACATGCGGTGGGACGAACAGGAGGCCTTTGTCGGCACAGAGCGTGCTCAGTGACTCCGAAAGGTTTCGACACACGCAGTGGAAAGGACAGGCCGAGACCACACCCCACGTCTCCCCTGCTCCAATTAGAGAAGGAAGCAGGCAGCATGTGACCAAAGTCAGCCAGTGAAAGACTGGGAAAGGGACAGAGTCCGGGAGGGTTCTCTTTGCAGTCCTGGGACAGGCGCAGTGGATGAGATGGGAGGAAGTTGACAGAGATGAAACAAAAAGAGGGGACAGAAGAGAGACGGACAGACTGGGCAGAGGGAAGAGGGAGGGGAAGTCGGAGCCCTCTGCTCTGTCTTCGGGGTGGTGTGTGTGGGGTAGGTGTTTTTGTCTGCGGGGATTGAAGGGTGGGGGGACAGGCATGGTAGAACGCCTGGCTGTTCACAGACCTGGAGAGAAAAAGAGAACAGATGGGGGGGAAAAGATTAGACATAGTTTTTAAACTCATACAGTTGGTCGTATTTCTATGTGTGTCTGGTTTTTTTGTCTTCCACCTACTCTGACTAGACAGAAGTGAAGCAAGGGCTTGCTTTACACACATCCATACCTGTGTGGGTCAAGGCCTCTTCTAAACAAGTACCACTTCACACTAGTGCCTACATGGTGCTTTGTAGCATTAAAAAAATCTGTATTGAAAAATGGTTGCCTCCCTTGCTGTGTGCTTTTTTTTTTTTTTTTTTTTTTTTTTAATTGGCTTACATGTATATTCTGTCCTGTCTACCTCTTTGCCACTGTAGCTTATTGCCTAGCAACAGCATCCCAAAAGACTGAACACAGCCAGTCCCCATAGTAACAGTTACCTAGAAACATGTTAGAGTGGATTATTGTTATATCATAGGACCCTTTCTTAACACTATGGGTCAGGGAATCAAATTGGGTCAGCAGCCCATCAGCCTGGATTCCACAGCAAAGCTCAAATAAAGCACAATGCAGGTGTTGGTAAGCCTGGCATAGTACTAAACACACCAGGGTCCCATTGTAAGTCTCACACATACAGTATGTATGGCAGTACAGTCGTACTAGAAGCAAGTCGTTCTACTCTGCAGCCTTGTTTTTTTTAAATGTATGGAGAGGATCCATAATTCAGTCACTATTTTAAAGCAAAAAAAACCCCAACAAGCTCTGATTCATCAGGTTACACTTGGGCACACACTGTTACAAATACTTGCAAACATGATAAGCATCTCTGGAAAACCCTATCAGAACATATAAACAAATGTCATGCTAATTCTGGTTATTTGTGAATAAAGGCACTCAAAACGTATACACTGTGTCTCTGACATCTGTCAGTGTAACATTATTGGCTCAAATGACTCCCCGTTTGGCTGTTAATTGGCTTTTTGGTTGTAGGGGCGGGTCAGCTGTTTTGTTCGGTGTTAAAAATCTCACTTCTGTTTGTGTTGTGCCTTTGAAATGGCATCCCTCTGCCTTTATCTTGCCAGTAAATGCACACATTGTGGCTTAGTGATAAGGTATAGGAGTGAGTCACAGCCACTGATTGCCATGCCTAATAGTTGTTATAGCAACTGTAGCCTAGATGCAGAAAGAGTGACAGAGATGGTTGATAACAGTCAGAGATGCGATGAGGGGAGATGAGATGGTGAGTCACGGACGGACACAAAAACATCACTGAAGAACGATGGGGATATTTTCATATGAAGCAATCTGTAAACTGACAGTGCAGAAACTAGAGTGTGATGATTACACGGTGATATACAGTATGTGCAACCCAATACTTTGAGTAATGACCAGGCATAACTATGCATCACGATGGCTTTACAGGTTGACGCAAATTGCGGCTCAATATTTTCCATTAGATTCTGGCTTTACTCTTTCTGCCTGAAACTAGAGGAGCGTTTGCAATCTAGCTCGGATAGCAAGACTGCTACATGGTAGTTTTGGTCTGCTTCCAAAATGTGAGCTCTATATTAGACCAGGCTACACTGTCTCCTTTTTGAATGATAACTTTGTATTGAGTAAATGAGAAGATGAGAACTCTAGTGCCTGAAATGAATATACTTTTTTTTTTTTAATCTTGGGATCTCAAATGTTCTCGGTAAAAGCTGAGGGGAAGGAATGAAAAAGGTGGTATAGATCACGCAAGAACTACTTTTTTGCTTTATTGAATGGTTCCATTGCTGCTTTAATATCCTGCGTTTCCTGTTGAAGCATGATGCTTGGGCAGCACATTAAACCAATGAGATATTAGTTATCAAGAGCAATGCAGTTTGGGCATGAGCCCGGTTTTCTGCCCATCCCATCAAGCTGTTCAGTTGTACGTCAATAGACTGCAGAGTTAGAAAACATTGCTTTTTGCTACTTGAGTGCCTCTTGGTTGTTCTGGGAAGCTGCAATGACTACCAGGAACTCTGTACCGTTTTCAACCCAGCCTAAAAATAAAACTCCCAAGATGCTCTCCAGCTTAGCAATGATATCAGGGATTGTTATTTCCTTATGTCTAGTGTCATCATTTTCAAAAAAAAGAAAAGGAAGGATGAAAATGCTTGCAGCAGGAGAGAGTGGGATGGTGGGAGTGTGGGGAGGAGGACAAAGGCACGGAAGCCTGCAGTGACAGCCAGTCCCTGGGGCAGGTTGATGCTGGAAGTCGACTGCTCCTGCACTCCTGTGGAGCCATGCATACTAAAATGTGACAATACTCTGGCAAAGTGTAATACTGCATAAAAATGTGTCTTCTCCGCCATGTTCCCTGAAAAGCCCTAATGTCAGGTGGTGTCTTCATACGATCGGCGCTAAACCAGCTTTACCCCACGCTTTGCTAACACTTGGTTTGCCTGCGGCATGCTGAATGTCAGTAATGCTCGTGCAGTCCTCTGTTGTGCGTCCTGCATCTGTCTCCACACCGTCATTTGACCTTTGTCTGTCTCATTCATTTTTTCCTCCTCTACTCTCGTTGCTTAGCTCTTCTCAGTCATCTAATAACTCTCCTGGCCTTACTCTCACTCTGTTTTTAATTTCCACCTTCTGTCTCCTCTTCTCCTTGTGAAAGCCTTCTCCTCGTGTCCTCCCTGCCCACACTGTCCACTCCCACACCTCTCTCTTACTGTACCGCTCCTCTTCTTTCTCTATTTCCAGGGATCGGGCTTTGTTTCCTCATCTTCTATCCTCTCCCTGCAGTTGTCTTCCTTGTTATCTTTGCCTATCCTGTTTCTGCATCCTTGCTCACCTTCCATCTTTCTGCCTCTGGCTATTCTGTAAATTACCACATTTTCTTTCTTTATGTCTCATTCCCTCTTTTTCTTTCTCTCCGTCTTGTCTGCCCTTGAGGCAACCCAAGTACGACAATGTTATCAGTCACAGCACTACCTCACCACCTTCTCCGGCAGCACTTCCTCTGTCATTTTGTCTCGTCTCCCTATCGCTTGCTGATTCTGCTGCCCTCCATGTCTCCTTGCCAGTGCTGCTCTAACTTTCAGTCACAAACTATCCACACATGCAAACACACACCCTCTGATCCTGCAAACCACACATGATTATTTGCTGCACCCTGCCTGTCTCAGAGGCTCCCTCCCTCCCTCCTCGCTATTTCTCTCCTCCCTCCCTTCATTTATCTAACTTTCCCACTCATCTCTTCTCTCCATCTGCTTTCTCTTGATTTCTTTCTTCCCCTCCCAAACTGTCATTTCTCTTTCTTCTTACTCACTCAGCGTCTCACTCTCTCCTTCATTTGGTGCTCTTCCTCTGTTATGGAGGAGATCTCATTTACAACCAGAGCAGTGCAGTATTGAAGCTTTCTGGCACACAAGTTGGATGTAACTGATCTGCTCAGCTGCTGATCGATCAGAGCCAAAGAGATAGATAGCACCCTGTCCCATTCATTTACTCTCGCTCTTTTTCTTTCACTCTTTTCTTCTTCCATGCTCTCATTGCATCTTTTCCCCTCTTTAACAGTGATAAAGATGCAAGTAGTAAACATGTTAATCCAATAAGTAAATACTTTAAGTTTTTTAAATTGTGAGGAGTTTTCTTTAAATTTCATATTTATGCAAAAAATAAAGAGTGACACAGCAGTATGCCTGATGCACTATGGCATTTAATAGCTGCTTCCAGCCTAGGATGAGTGTTTCTTCTGATTCATGTGTTCCCTTTAGTGACAGTCGGTGTAGGACATACAGTTGACTGTATTTGAGAAAGTCTCCTTTGGACCTTAGCCAGTACACCTCTGGTGACCCATTCTTATTTGTGATTCCAAAATCTGCACACAAAAAGGTACCCAGATTACATCTTCAGATGTGAAACTCAACAAATCCTCTTGTTTGAAATGATACAACTCAGATGTTTGCCACAGCTTATAAATCCCTCAAATCAACTTCCTACATTTGTAATCTTACCTGGTTCTATCGGGTAACTGTCACTTGCGTATAATGTAACCTACAGCAATGCCTTAACCTTAACTTTTTCAGTTTTTAACCACTAGTTGAAAATAGCTTTTGCCTGATATTTATCTCTGTTCATCTGTTATACAAATATATAGCTTTTTTTGATTCCAGTTCTTCCCCCCTCTTATCTTTCCTTGTCTCTTTGGTCTGTGTGTGTGTGTGACACTCTTGTAACACTGGATTTTCCCCTCTGGGAATCAATAAATTCTTATCTAACGCTTTGTACCGATGCCTCAGAAAGCTATAGTACGGCATGTGTGCGCGTGCAGTAACTGAAATAAGCTAGGTAAGTATCTGCACTTGCTATATACGGTTGTAGACATGAACTCCCACCATGCTTGTCTAGTGCGTGTTCCTGTTTGTGAATTAATGTGACACTTGTCTGCACTTAGGAAGTCTTCTTGTGCTCTTAAGAGTTTGCTGCTGAATTTGCAATAAGCCGGGGACACACTTATGTGTGTCAACACAAACACACCCACACTTTTTTGCACTCTCGCTCAGGCACACGTGCACAGAGAACAAGACATCGCAGTATATAGCAATAAGGACAAAAGCCCACTGGGACAAAGCCTACTTGACACTTTTTGGGACAAAAAAAAAAAGTCAAGGAGGTCAGTCGATAAAAGATTAATGATTAAGAAATAAATCACAGAGAAGAGCACAAAAATGCGCCGGAAACTAGACAAAGAGGAGTATGAACAACAGACTATTAATATGAAGGTACATGTGTATTTGCTAGCTCATCCAAGCTCTTAGGCTTGTGTACCATGTCTGTTGTTTGCAGGTGTGTTTGTTTTTTTTTTTTACTCTATTTTGGGAAATCTCTTCTTGCACGACCCTGCGTGAACCCATAGCTGTCCAGAGAGCAGGAAACAGACTGTTGACGAGAGCAAAAAAGGCTGCATAAAGTGAGAGTGAGAACATGAGCTAAAAGCATCTATGGAAGGATCTACTCTGTACCCTCTGCTCTGGAGCACAACTCGGTGCCAAGA